CCTCCCAGTTCCCTCCCAGTCCCTATCCCAGTGTTTCCAGTTCCCTCCCAGTCCCCATTCCAACCCTTCCAGTTCCCCCAGTCCCTATCCCAGTGCTCCCAGTCTCCCTTCCAGTCCTCCCAGTTCCCCTCCCAGTCCTCCCAGTTCCCTCCCAGTCCTCCTCCCAACCCTTCCGGTGCTACCAGTCCGCCTCCCATTGCCCCCAGTCCCTATCCCAGTGCTCCCAGGGCTCCCAGTTCTCCTCCCAGTCCTGCCAGTTTCTTCCCAGTCCCCATCCCAGTCCTTCCAGTGCCCTCAGCCCCTATCCCAGTGCCCCCCAGTTCCCTCCCAGTCCCCATTCCAATCCTTCCAGTGCCCACAGTACATATCCCAGTGCTCCCAGTCTCCCTCCCAGTCCTCCCAATTCCCTCCCAGTTCCCATGTTAACACTCCCAGTGCTTCCAGTCCCCCTTCCCATTCCCCCAGTCCCCTTCCCAGTGCCCCCTGTCCCCATCCCAACCCTCCCAGTGCTCCCAGTTCCCTCCCAGTCCCCATCCCAACCCTCCCAGTGCTCCCAGTCCCCCTCCCAGTGCCTCCCAGTGAGTCCCAGTGCCACCTCACTGTCCCCAGGTGCGGTGACTGGGCGGGGCTGGGGCCAGCCTGGGGGTCCTGCCCCTCCCCCTCCTGCTGCTGGCCGCGGGGACCCAGGCGTCCGGGCTGCACCTCGACCTGGGTGAGACCTATGGGGTCCATAGGGGCCACGGGAGGCTGGGGGTCCCCTATGGGGTCCATAGGGGCCATGGGAGGCTCTGGGTGCCCTATGGGGTCCATAGGGGCCATGGGAGGCTGTGGGTGCCCTATGGGGTCCGTAGGGGCCATGTGAGGCTGGGGGTCCCCTATAGGGTCTATAGATGCCTTGGGAGGTTGGGGGTCCACTATGGGGTCCATAGGGGCCACGTGAGGCTGAAGGTCCCCTATGGTGTCTATAGGGGCCACGTGAAGCTCTTGGGACCCCTACGTGGTCCATAGGGGCCACTTGAGGCTCTGGGTCTTCTATGGGGTCCATAGGGGCCATGGTAGGCTGGGGGTCCCCTATGGTGTCCATAAGGGTCATGGGAGGCTCTGGGTCTTCTATGGGGTCCATAGGGGCCACGTGAGGCTGAAGGTCCCCTATGGTGTCTATAGGGGCCACGTGAAGCTCTTGGGACCCCGTGGGTTCCCCCATGTCCCCCCCGTGTCCCCAGCGTCCCCCGCGCCCCCCAGGCAGGTGCCGCTTCGCCCTGGGCATGGAGGACGGCTCCATCCCCGACAGCCGCCTCTCGGCCTCCAGCGCCTGGTCCGACTCCACAGCCGCCCGCCACGGCCGGTGAGCCCAGTACGCACCAGTGTACACCAGTACACACCAGTATGGCCCGGCACCCGCTTCCACCCCGCCCGGTGTCCCACCTCCAAGGGCCCTCCAGTGTCCCCACCCTGTCCCCACCTCAGAGACACCGCTGCCTGCTGTTTCCAAGGGGTCCCAGTATGGCCCAGTATGGCCCAGAGCCCCCACCCAGTACTGTCCTGTGCCATCCAGGGTCCCCCGGGTGTCCCCAGGTCCCTCTGTCCTCCAAGTGTCCCCGTGTCCCCCGGTGTCCCTAGGATGTCCCCGTGTCCCTTGAGTGTCCCCATGAAGTCCCCATGTCCTCCAAGAGTCTCCATGTCCTCCAAGAGTCCCCAGGTCCCCTGGGTGTCCCCCAGTGTCCCCATGATGTCCCCGTGTCCCCATGTCCCCGGGTGTCCCCATGTCCCCTAGGTGTCCCCATGTCCTCCAAGAGCTGCCAGGTCCCCTGGGTGTCCCTCGGTGTCCCTGAGATGTCCTGATGTCCTCCAAGAGTCCCCAGGTCCCCTGGGTGTCCCCCAGTGTCCCCATGATGTCCCCATGTCCCTTGGGTGTCCCCATGTCCTCCAAGAGTCCCCATGTCCCCTAGGTGTCCCCCGATGTCCCTAAGATGTCCCCGTGTCCCTTGGGTGTCCCCATGTCCCCGGGTGTCCCCCACATCCCCTGGCTGTCCCTCAGTGTCCCTGAGCTGTCCCCATGTCCTCCAAGAGTCCCCATGTCCCCTGGGTGTCCCCCGGTGTCCCTAAGATGTCCGCGTGTCCCTTGGGTGTCCCCATGATGTCCCCATGTCCTCCAAGAGTCCCCACATCCTCCAAGAGTCCCCATGTCCCCTGGGTGTCCCCATGTCCCTGAAGGTCCCCATGATATCCCCATGTCCTCCAAGCGTCCCCATGTCCCTTGGGTGTCCCTAGGATGTCCCCATGTCCCCTGGGTGTTCCCAGGACATCCCCACATCCCCAGCCTGGACCACAGTTATGGGCACAGCACGTGGTGGCCCCGGGCGTCCCCACGTCCCCAGTGTCCCCAGGACGTCCCCATGTCCCCAGGCTGGGTCGCAGTGACGGGGACGGCGCCTGGTGTCCCGCGGGTCCCGTCTTCCCGGAGGAGGAGGAGTTCC